AAGATGTGTTGGACGGATTGGATTCGATATAAAGCACCCAACTTGGGGATTGCGGCATTGCGCCATCATCTACTCTCTGCATGCTGGAGAAATCTTGAGAAGACCCCACGAAAGTGACATCACTACATTGAGCAATGAGGAAGGGAAGGGAGAGATGTGGCATGGCCTTGTAGATGTTCCATGCTCAGGCCTATATGGGAAGGCAATGGAAATACATGCCTTGACTTCTTGACAGTCTCTAATGCTCGGCCTTTTCTCGCCTGCTTTTCAAATCATCCTTCCATTTGCCGCATCCGTGAAGTGCCAAGAGAAACACATGCAAGTCACCCAGGTTCGAGCTGAATTCTAAGAACACTCAGTCGGATTGACACTTGGGTGCCACCAAGGCCCCCAGGGCTCCAGGACCCAGTCCCACCTCCTCAGACTGGACCCTGGCACCTGGGCCCCCCCAGTCCAACCGAAACAAAAGGAGTTCGGTGCGACTGGAGCCCTAGGGAAGGGCTTCAACATGCTTCAACACCTGGTGTTTGTCATTTCTCTCAAGAAGGGCAATCTCCAAAGGTCAACGAGTTGGTCAACGGGAACGCCGAACACCCCCGGTGTTGGTCCATTTCTCAGTGTGATGAGAACACCAATCAGGAACAATATGAAAAAGAACTATCCAGCAAGTTCGAAAAGGTCTTACCACCCCTCAACCACCACCACTTTCTCCGGCACGGCAAGCGGCCGAAACGAGTCCGGTTTCGGAATGGATCGCCCCACTGAGTCTCGGTCCCGTCCATAAAGGGGCAAACGCGAGAACAGGGGCACCGCCACTTCCTCTTCAGGCTCGGGCGGAGTCACGCGGATTTCGAGTCTTCGGCTCATTTCATGGAGGATCTCCAAGTCTTTAGGGGGAAGGAGATCTTCGATATAGAACTATAGGAGTCTTTTAGGAGATCTTCTATAGGAATTTTATACAAAATTTATGGAGATCTTCTACAGGAAAACGAAGGAACATTGGATGCGCATGGAACAAACATCCGCCCCAAGATCTCAAAGACCTCCGACTCCAACAGACTGGCAACTCCCGATCAGGCCAGGGCCAAAGGTGGTTTGAGGGAAACATGTACCAGGGCCCCTGGGCCATGGGGTAGATAATGGGCACCCCGAATCACCTCTATGGGGCAATAATTAAGAAAACCCCATGGCCCGAGGGCCCTGGTAGAGGTCTAGATTCCAAACATGGAGTGTCTTTTTGAAGGCTTTGGACAAGACCACAGGATGCCACGCCAGCCTCCAGGATGCTTGTGTCTCAAGTCCCGTCGCTTGACACAGGGATGTGTGTCTTTCTGTTTCTGTGTATCTGTCCTTCATCTAGAGTCTTTTTCACTCGTTTTGCGCCTGCTAAACATTTAAACAAATGGAACACGGTCCATAGACGTGTTCCATCCAAACACGCGTCAACACGTGGTGACGAATCAATTGTCTGTCCTCTCTGGAGGACAGAGTGATGGACTGGACTGAGCATCCGGACAAACAGGACCAGTCTGGCACTAAAACCTCCACAGAACAAACACCTACCCCACCTCCCTGAACCACCAGCACGCCTAAAAACGGGTTCGATGCAGAAACCGTCACAAGCATTCCTTGTCAAAGGTCCAGGGGCATTAAAAAAAAAAACACACATCACAATTCCCTATGGATCCACATACCTTCTCAGAAGGTAATTGGACCCTTCAAGCCTACATATATAAATAGTCTCCAATCACCTTCTGACAAGGTATGTGGATCCATGGGGATTGAACATACTGGGGTGGTTGATCGACACCCCTAACTCTAAGTATGTATGTTCCTTCCAGTCACACTGCGCCGCAGTAGAAGTGCACATCTCCTCCGAGCCCACAGGCAGCTTCGCGACAGCTGGCCATGCAAAGGAGGACTCGTCGATGGAGTCTTGCACCTCATCTCACTGTTTGTTTGTTGTTCATCTCCCTCTCTCTCTCTCACCCAAGTCTGGCTGTAAACCTTTGGACACGAGAGCCGGTGAAGAGAAAACACGACCCAACCAGCAATCTGCAAGAGGAGGATTCTGAATACCTGTGAATACCGCCCCAAACCAGGCCTCCAATGGCCCCAAACCTGTCAGTCACTAGTCACTAGACGGCACCTCAACGGATCCTCCCTGTCGATCCTCTGAATGACTCGGCTGTGTCATACTGCGCGGCGGCTTTCATTCCTACCAACGCCTTGATCACCAAACTTGTGGGACCAGGGGACCAGGGCCCTTACTTGCAAAAAAAACAAAGCGCCGCATTCCAAAAAGAAGAATCCTGACCCGGTCCACAGAAGTCTTCTGCCTTCCCCATGCTGTAATTAGTTCGACTTCCATTCCTGATGCACTCAACTGGACGTAACTGGAACTTCCATTCCCGACCGATCCTCGGGACCCCTCGCGGCAGCGCACAAGCTCCGCAGCTCGGGATAGCGCGACCTGAGGTCGGGAGAGCGGGTCGGATGGGACGTGGAGGTCAATTGGAAGACCATGAAATCCATTATAAACAGGTGGTTTTCCACTTCCATGTTAGTTCCAGGGAGAGTATTTGAATTTCTGTGAATCTTCTTGTCTTTTTTCTGTGCTGAAATTCAGATATGTCAAAAAAAAATCCGGGTTGGTAACTGTACCAACTGTTCAGCTGGATTTGATTCCTCCAGTGCCGCCAAAAGAACCCAACCTGCCAAGGTGAGGGGGACAGTGCTTGTTGTGTCCAACATTCTCTAGGGAGGAAGAGATTCTGGCCACATTTCTTCCGAACTACGTACAAAAAGGTGCATGTGCCAAACCAGGTCTTCTGGCACTATTCTGGCACATGCATCCAGACCGCCTCGCTTTCTGAGGGTCCCCACCGTGGCCCCTGGCCGTCCAGGGAAGGCCGTGGGAAGCTCCACTGCTTTCCCAGACCAGAACAGATTGAGATAACATGGTTGGGCCATATCATATATATATACACCCATAACCTACAAACTGTTTTGTATAAATATATATTTATACATATACCAATATATTATATGTATACCTATATAAGATGTCTTAGAATCCCATTTGAAGGTTGTTCATAGAACACTTCTTCACTATGCTGGAAACTTGTAAAGTAACTGACTAAATCCTACTAAATCCTTCGATGATGCGTATAAATATGTAGGAATTTTATGGGATGTAATTGAACACCTGTGGAGCCCGAAGAAATTTGGTTGGTCAAACTTGTCAAACCAAAGAAGATCACAAGCCAACAAATTCTCTCAAAGGACTTGCCTGATTGCCGGCTCTTGCTACTTGGGCTGCAGCAATTCCTTTGTGGCCCGTTGTGGAGCCCGTTGTGGAGCTCGTCGGTGTACACAGCCCGAGTGGACTCCCGGCTCCCTGGAGCCGGGAATCAACGTGTATGGTGGACGGAGGTGGATGAAGCGGCTACAACCGGTAGATTAGTAGCTCACTGAAACACAAATATATATATATATATGTATACTGCATATTCTACTACTACTACTACGACTACGACTACTACTACTACTACTACTACTACTACATAAATACAGTATACACATACATGTATACTGCATATTCTACTACTATACAACACTCTCTCTCTATCCATATACATCATATATACATATAAACACACAATAAAGCCTATCGAAAAAGCTCATATAATGTTGAGATGTATGATGTGTCCTTTCAAGAGGTCACTGGGCAAGTCACATATATGAAATGTCCTACCTATGATAGGATCCGATAGGATGTTTTGCAGGGATTGGACCCATCTATGGTAACATAAATACGGTATGTACACCCAATGTTTTAGAACATGTTAAACATGCACCGCAAACCAGGAATCACACAACGCAAGCAACATTTCTCTGACAGGATGACCAAACTCCCTGTCCAAGCTGTGACCGACATCATGATCGATGAGCCGTTGATTTAACCGTAACTGAACCCGCGCTGCAAGAGGATGCACCTAGCGCTTCCAAGGGGTGCCCGGTCTGGAGACCTGTAAGTAGTGTGGAGATATCCATTGGTGACCCCGAACGGAAGCAGCTGGTATGATCAGTCGGTCATTTCCTTTTTCAGACGTCCACGTCCAGCGGCATAGGCCGGGCGTGCCGGTTCTCCGTTGCAACGCACGACGTCGGGCTCCCATCGTATATCCAAGGAATCCCATGTCATGTGCAGCTGTGACACATTGAGGCGAGTGAAGACAGGCGGAGGAGGTATCAAGTATGCTTAAGGCCTCTTGAGGCCATTGTTGCCAGTGCTCCAACAACCAATGATGTGGAAGGTTGAAGGTTGCGTTACGGCAGCAAGAACACTAGGAAACCAAGGAAGGTTGCCTTCCACCAGTAATTATATATACAGCCTGTGTTCTTGAGATTGTCTTCAATACTCCCATCTCATTCCGGGAGGAACCCGCAACACCGGAATGGAAGCATGAGGGCCATTAACCCATGGTCTCCTGGTCTCAGCTACCCTGGAATAGGGGGGAGAATCTGAATCATGGAGCTTCCATGTTGGTCTTTCAAGAAGTGCCAGAAATTGGCGTCGTTGCTTCTTCCTTGGAAAGGGGAACGTCCGGCTACTGTAAGAGGGGAATTCCCGGCTACTGTAAGAGTGCCAAGTGGCAAAGGTGCCAACAATGCCGAAGGCTGCCCTCTATAAGGTCTACGAAGGTAGGTAGCTACTTGCTGGGGAGAAGGTAGCTACATAGCGCCGTAAGTTCACCTTAAAGGCAGTTCCTTAAGTACGGGTACTCTTCTGCCACCATGGATATCCAGCCATGGATGAATGATGAGTCATTCGAGCAAATACTGAGTAGCTGGAAAGACTGGGGTGATACCAAAACAATCAAAAACACAAGGCTCCGCCAGGCTCTGCAGTCCTCAGGGCGAAAAAATGGTCTCCAAGCCCTTACTTGGAAAGTCTGGCTCTCTTGTGGGGAGCACTATAGTCAATCTCGCGTCCTTTAGGGATCACTGCGAACTTGTTCAGATCTGGATGTGAGGTGAAGTAGTGCATCTTGATGTGCCGCATGTTGATGGCCTTTTCGGGAAGCCAAGCTGGCTGCAAGCTGCTTGACCACCAAAAACAGGTCCCACCCGTCACATCGTCGCATCGCGATGAGGAACTACCTAGAAGACCTAGCACCCCAAACACCTTCTCAGAAGGTATTTGGAGCCCTAGGGTTGCTGACCCGTTTTTGTATGTCCAAGTGAACTCTGTGCAGCTCAGTTGTCCAACACAAGTGAACTCTGTGAGCACATAGCGACAAAGGAAATGCAAACCCTGGGAAGACTCACTTCTTCTACAAACAAGAGGTCTATTGCTTGAGTTTTCTAGGCAACGTCTATCCCTCCATCGCGCTGGGAACGACATTCGGCAACGGATGGCAGAACCGTCCCAAAACACAAGAATCTTCAGAATTCTTGACGAGGACTCTCTTCACCACACTGAAACGGAGGCCTGGCCAAGCCTGGGTACAATAGGCCTAGGCAAAAACAAAGCCCCAACCCGTAGGAAGAACACCAGCTCACCAGGCAGGCCTTTGCCATGCCCGGCACCTGATAAACATCCTGCCAGATCAGCCGGTGCAAGATGGAGCTTCCCATGACCTTTCTCAATTCCGGGCTCAAATCCTACAAACTTGTCCCGGCAAGCCCTTATGCAAACCTCCACGGACTTCACAAAGAGTCCCAACAGCATCTCTTCAGGGTCCACGGGAATATTCACTGGGGGAGGGAGCTGCCGCAAGCTGCATGAAGGACACCGCATTCCTTCTTAAATCTTTCTGAGAACAGCCTCCCAAACCTCAAGTGTCGTTCACGGTTGAAATGGCTCCAGCACCCCTAGAGAACAACAACATGTGGTGTCTGAACGGTCTCAATGGGCACAACTCTACGGTCTTGCCGTGACTGGAAAGCAAACAGTTTCATTCAGAGTCCTAAAGAAGCCCTGCATCAAAAGCATGTACCTCTATCGGCTGGGATGAGGATAAAGGTAGCTTATTCTTACGAATCCTTTAGGAATTCTCTCGATTAACATGCCTTTGCTCTGGTGAAAGCTAAAGCCAAAGGGCCAAAGGAACAAACTTCCATCCAACATGGAAGAAACTTCTACTCCAAATCTCCACCCTACTTGGACCACTGACCTGCAAACAAAAACCAAAGCATGGCTCAAACAAAATCTCAGTTGAACAAATACGATGCCTTCAGGCGTGCGCCTTCATAAGAAGCCGAATCCCGGTGATACCCGTGTTTGTGTTGCTGGAAGAAGGTCCTGTTAATATGGCATGCCTGCCTACCTTGACCGTGAAGCAACCCGAATGTGGGTAAGTATTCAACCGCATTCGATAACACTATCCAAAACACTCCATGTATGGAATATGTACCTAATTGACCCCTCAAACCACCGCAATGTAGCTAAATATCACATACTTTGGGTATATAATCGCACACTCCCTGAAACAATTATATAGTAATTAGTGGAACAGACCGGCCCCTGGAAGACCATGTTCCTCTTTTCGATCGGGCCTGGTGGTTTAAGTTTAAACCCTGGTCCTTGCAGTACTCCAACAAATTGGGGAAATTCATCTCAATGGTGCCCATGTTGGTCTTGAAGTAGACCACATAGACCGCATCAAAGCGAATCAAGGTCATGAAGAGGCCTTATCGTTTGCCCAAAACGGTATAGTCGACCGACTTAGAAGGTCTAGCCGACCGTTTTGAGGGTGCGACCTTCACGGTGACTAGGTCCAGCCACGCTGTGTTTCAGCCGGATTTGTCACTGACAGCTGAAGATGCGTTTATACATGCATGTTGATACTGGTTGATACTATGGTGGAGCCAGGTGTCACACAAGTTGTTTACATTTCACGACCGCTCTTGTCTCATTGCTCATCGCTGGTGTTGGTGGTTGTTGAGCTGCTCATCTCATAAACAACAAATGGACACGAAATGGCAAACCTCTGGTTCACTGACTTTTCTGAACAGAATTATGATCATTATACAAAATCTGATGTCTAAGAACAAAACAGCAAAACTATGCAAAACTGGGGTTGACAGTCAAACGTTGAAGGTCATGCTGAATATAAGAAGAGCATTCACTCATCACACCTCATGCCGGGACCTGTCACTTTTAATGGTGTGGCACTGATCTGTGAGGGTCCAGGTGTTGTTTGCAAATTTGCTTCTTCGGTAGGCGGGCTGGAGCTGTTCGTTGTGATGCGTCGTGATTCGCTGTTCGTGGTGTGGTCATCCATCATGATCCATCCGCCTCTTGGACGCAGGATTCCTATAGAACATGACTCTCCCTGGAACTGGAAGTGGAAAACCACCTGTTTGTCGTGGATTTCATGGTCTTCCTTTCGGGGCCATTCTCCACTTCCCATGGGCCCGTTTTCGGGAGTGTAAAAACAAAAGAAACCACAACACCAACACTGTCTACCAGCACCCTCCAACAGGTCTCCTCTGGTAGCTTTTTGGATACTTAAAAGTGTCAGGTGGTGACCTGTTGGCCGTCGGGTGCTGGTAGACTAAACCAACCACGTTGTTGAAGGCGATACCACGATGGATCTTGCGTCATCGTGGCGAAGATCCATGTAGGTGAAGGTGTCCCCGCACACGTACCGCTGCTTCGACAAGAGCTCTTCGGCCTTTGAAAGGGCACCCGCCAGGTCCTGAACAGCTCCGAGATGGTCTACTTTGGGCCTTTGCCATGGCCTGGTCACTAAAATTCACTAAAACTTGGAACAAAGAACAGCAAAAGCTGGATTAGGGATGCTTGCTCTGTTTGGTGCCTGCGCAGCGATGTCGTAGGCTTCCTGGCTCTTGGCGAAGCCACACCTAACGAAGGGTGCAAAGGCTTCCCCAATTTGGGACCAACGCTGCAAACACAGCTGAGGATTTAATTCCTGAACCTTCCATTGATAAAGAAATTGCTGACAAACTGCCAAACTGCTACTTTGATACGGAATTCTTGTTTGTGAGCGTTCTTCGTGTAAATGAGCGTGTTTGACTTCTCAGTTTGACTTCTTCAAGTTCCCCAATTCATGGTTTCCCTTGTCATCAAGCTTCCTTTAGGCTTAGTTCGGCACATCTTCTTGGGCATTCTGAAGAGCTAGCCTACACTAAAACACACACCTCCATTACTCCACCATGCTCCACCCACCTGCGCCCGACCGATCGGAGATCTGCCAAGTCGGGCCTGTAAACGCCGTTGTTGATGTTCGGATAAATCCATGCGTTGGCCGCTTCGCAGTCCGCTTCCAGGCTGGCGGGGAACAAGTCCAGTTCCTAAGGGAAACACGGCGACCCATGTGGGAGATCTGTAGCTTGAAATTCCGATCCGTTATAGTTAGAAAGTGGCTTCAAAACAACAAAACAACTTTCTAACGTTTTGAAGTTGTTGTTCCAAAAAACATAACGTTTTGTTGATGAGATGGAACGTTTTGTTGTTTTTTACAAACATCAACAAAAGGTTCCATCTCATCCAGTTCTCTGCGTGTGATGGGCATGTTCACCTCTTTAGCCGTGGATCGCTGATGTGTTTCGGTCTGATGTGTTCGATGACCCTCACAGCGTTTGGTGGGCTGTGAGCAAAGAGCAAAGGAGCCCAAAACCACAACACGAGTTTAAGGATGTTGGTTCAGGAACGGATTCATGTCTGCTTCATGTTCTTGAAGATGGCTCTTCAGCCCGCCCCAAAGGACGCCCCAGGCTGCGCGAGACGCTCTGCACGACCGGGAAAAGGGGGCACCCCTAAACTGCAACATGTCAACTTCTCCCTCCAACCATCTCCAACCCTAAACTCCCAGGCTGACGGCAGGGGCGTGGGAGGGTGCTTTGGAGTCGTCGTTGGGCTCTGCTTTGGACTCCAAGGTTCCGGCATCTTGGCCCATTTGTTGAACTTACTGTTGAACATGCCTCAGTCCGCGCCAAGACCGCCCAACTCAGCGCGTTTCTTTCCATTCTTTCCAACCGGTGAGGGATCCGAATATGATACACCTTAATGCTAATGTTGAGTGTCAGGAAGGCGTTGCATGGCATGTTGAAGCTGAACCAGGCTCATGTTGAGAGTAAACATCACGTAGTAACTTCTGTCAAACTTTTTTGAGATTGTTTTGAGGTCATACCCGGTGCCTTGGAGTTTAGCTCACCCCTTCCGCCGATCAGGAGCCTCCCTGGAGACCTTAGAACTTCATACCCTTCGGTCCCCAAAAAGGCTGCGGTCACCAGCGGCCCCCCTAATGGACCAAGACCTTACTACCAGCCCTCCAAACCATGCAACAATAATGAAGGCTAAACGGAGGGTTCTCCTTCCACGAAGTTCTGCGAAGGTTTCTGGGATTTCGTTGCAGTCAGTTCTCCTACGTGTAAGTCTCTGAGAGATGGGGGTTACAAACACCTGGTGTGCCGCATATCCACTCCTTTCATGGCATGGTTCGCAGGACCTCCATCCTTGAATCAATGGATTGAAGGGAAAACTCTACGGGAAACCATGGTGTTCAACCGTCACCCCAATCCTTCCTATGGGTTTCTTGTTCATTTTCATTTTGCGAATTCTGAGATTTTTCACTGCTGATCCCATCGTTTCACGAAGCAGCGCAGAATGTCCATCGACTCGTTGTTCACCTGGGCCACGAGAGACGCACATGGGTCCATCGTACTAGCAAGCAAACCAGTGAAGCAGCTCTGCACCACCGCACACGGAACCACCTTCGGCTTGAAACCTACAACACGGAAGCTTGCAGGCGTGAACCCCGATCAGCAAAAGAACACCGCACTCGCACAAAACAATCATAACATAGAACCGAAGCCTTGCGCAAGCTGTCAGGATCCGATTTCTGCGGCGGCCGATGCATGCTGTACTGACTGTATGTAATACATGCTTCGCACTCGTAGGCATCGGCACCCATAGTGGCAAGGCAAAACCAAACATCTACATGGCCAACAAGATCCAAGTGTTGAAAACATGCTTAGGGGCTGGCCTTGCTACTAGGAGCGATCGGACGCTACGAACGGGGCTCCTGGCATCACTACGAACGGAGCATTCTTACTACGAACGGAACAAGAAGCTTGCCCAATCCAAAAGCATCCAAGAGAGGTGGAACAGCCCTACTATAGCCCATCCCAGATGTACCACATCCCAGGGTCCTATATGGTCTCTCAACCTCTCTTGGATGTCCAAAGTCCCAAGAGTCCATTCCTTTCGCCTCAGAGCGCCCAGTAACCTGGAGATTTCGGACCCACGAACCCCTCACCCACTGAGGAGGACGCAATGGTGTTCTGCTTCTTGTCCCACAGCAGTGGAGTGGAATACTTGCCGCCGGTATCGCCGGCCTGGTGTCCAATGTTGGACGAAGCACATGCACAATGCAAAAGCAGAGGGACTTCAGAATGCACAATGCATCTCGCAACATCATGTGTATATATATAATTCTCATGCCCTCTAAAAGAACATGGGGTGCCTAATGCTCGCATGTTTCCGATACTTTCTGTGTCATTGAATCATCAGAACGACGGTGCCGAAACCCAATGGCCACTGACATCCTCTCAGTCTTTTAAGCTCTCCTGAGGAGAACAACCTACGCTGTCAAACCTTGGGCGAATGATATGAACAAACGTAATTGCACTTTGTATTTCATGCTCTGTGGGTGAGAAGTGCCACGGAGACACTGGTATCCGAGTATAAAACATTAAACTGAACAATTCAATGCAATTCACTATTGGTGATCAAACAGGCATGGCAGATTCTTCAGTGCATGACCTTTTTCAAAGCTGTCTCCCAAAATGACCTTTTGCAAATACCCATCTTCAGAGCTTGAAAGACTTGCAGGGTTTCAATCTGAGAACATTCTGAAACTTCAAACAGTCACGGCTCATTGTCTGGTGCCTCACCTTCTCGTAGATATCCCGCACAAATTTGGCACCATTCACCGAATCCGGCACTAGGGCGTCGTCGCACTCAAAGCTGCCATGGCCTGGAGAAGCAAGGCTATGGGCGACCAGTCTTTGTTTGTTGGTCCTGTTCCTCACGAAGCCCCGTTGTATGAGTAAAAGAGCAGCGGAAACATAATCAATGTATCAATATGCACTTTTCGTGTAATTCATTGTATACGGGGTATTGAAATGGTGCCCGGCATCAAAAATCTGTTGATCGCCTCCAGGGTGGCCACCAACAACTAGTGAAAGAACTCGAGACAATTCACATCTGGTCCCTGTGAGCCCCTCTCCATCCGATGTGGATGATGTGGTCGAAGCCAACGTCGAGCCACACCCACCCACACCCACCCATTCCCCAGTCGTACGCTCATAGCGCCCAAGGTACCACTTAGATGCTTTGACCAAAGGGTATTACATGGTGTGAGTCGGGTCCAAACCCTCCAAGTCCACCACCGAGGCGTCCGCGAGGCGACCACCGCGACCCGCTCTGCAATCCGGTGGCCCAGGCCATTCGACAACGGTGCGTCGCGGGGTTGACCTTAAGGAACGCCCGAGGTGAGTCGTGAGTTCGGAGGTCGCGAAGAATGATGATGGCATAGCGATAGGTAGGGAGATAGGTAGGGTAGGGTAGGGTAGGGTAGGATAGGGTAGGGTAGGTAGGTGGTTAGGTAGGTTAGGTAGGTAAGGTAGGTAAGGTAGGTAAGGTAGGTAAGGTAGGTAAGGTAGGTAGGGTAGGTAGGGTAGGTAGGGTAGGTAGGTAGGTAGGGAAGGTGGGGTACTGTAGGTAGGGTAGGTAGGTAGGTGGGTAGGTAGGTAAAGATATTATAGATAAATAGATTGATCGACCGATCAATAGATATAGTGCTTGCACCATAAATTTGGGTTTTGTGTAAATTCGTGTTCTGCTTAATGTGTTTTAACTTACTAGTAACGAATAAAACTCGGTGATAGACTTTTACCAACAAGATGCCCATGTACCCAAGTTCTTTGTCCAGCTGTATCATCATGCTCTCATTGGCTCGGCCCAAGAAAGAATCATCACAGCCACATGCTGGGTTCCTCATGAAATGCGCCACTCTTGACTTCTATATCACTAACATTCGCTAACAATCCTCATTGGTTGATGATCATGTTTCTCTTGAGCACCGAAATCCGAAGTATATCCCAGCTTCTTCAAAGTGACCTTTCAAGTTTCCTAAGTGACCCTTAGAAGGCTTGAGTGACCTCAAACCAGGTTATCAAAAGGTAACAGGTCCATCAATCATCATCAATCACCCCCCAAAAAATGCCTCCCAATTGCACATTCCCCAACCACCGTCCCCAAATGCATCACTTCCGCATCTCAGTGGCGGAAGGTCCATCCATGATGCTGATCCTGTGGATCTTCTGGGCGGCTTCGTTGCCAGGTGGGGTGCACCACGCTGTAGCCGATGCAATCCTCCAAACCCTTCCTGCCCACGTGCGGGCTGCGGCGCATGCGTAGTACGTGTACACAAACACACACACACCCACACACACACACACACACACACACGCACACGCACTGGGAGAAAGTGTGCCTCTGGCAAACTGATTTAACCAAACCAGTCCTGTTAGGGCCCTATATATCTTCATCATGATGATTCTATATATGATTCTATTATGTTCTACTGAAATATTATTCTATTTTGTTCTAATGAATATCCAACGGATTATGCTCGTTTTGGCGGTCTAAGGCGCCACATGGCTTTAAAACACCAGAAATTGATAGTACTTCTCCGGACGGTGTTGTTGTCTTTGCAACGCCGGTTGCGGGGGATTGGCAGCTGCTGAAGCCACATGACATGATTGTGAGCCTGAGAGGCTATGCCACATGTTTGTTCCATGGACCAAACCACCAAAAACCACATCAAAGACCTGGAAGACCTGCCATCCTGTTGGGGAGGCCATCTAGGACGAGTGATGCGTCACAGGAAGCGTCATAGGACAACTAGTTACTGTAGTTCATTACTTGGCACCCTTCCCAACATGACATGCCAAAGTAAATCAACCCCTCATGGATGGGCGACCAATGACTCCAATGGCCTCTAAAACCTCCGGTTTGAATACCATGAAAAAGAAAGGTGTTCATCGCACCAAACCATACCCAGACACTCCATGGGACTGCCATATATGCCGATCAGTTGGGGTGGTTTTGGGGGTCAATGTAGGCATATATGGCATACATGGAGCGTCCAAAACCATGCTTTTGTGCTAGGGAAACCCCGGTTTTGGGTTGTTTGTGGGGCCCCTGGTGCAGAGATGTTTTCAGGTCACTCCCTCCGTCCGTTTTCGTTTCGGCGCTCTCAATGGGCCACGTCTTCGACGCCCCACGTCGATCGCAGTCGGGTGGCATGAAGAGAGCTGCAAGCGCTCCATCCGCCCAAGGGCAGGCTAAAGCCACATAGAGGTGATAACCTTGAGTGAACTCCGTTCCACCCGTGCCACCGAGGTCATGACAAACACAAACCGCCCCGGCACAGGCGTATAGTGTTGAGGCCTGCACCAACCGTAAAGTCTGATGAAAAGGGAAACCAACATCAATCAGCTGGGTCCTTTAGCCGGCGATAGCGCAAAACTGAGATTCCTTCTTCCGCTGCGGTGTTCTGCCCCCCCTTATTCCGCTCAACGTGATATCCGAGAATGGCAAATGAACCTACCAGGGCCCTTGCTGAAAGAAAGGCTATACGGCTATACAATGCTATACACCATTATATACCTATAATCACTCTACATCACTACAATCAATGCATCCACTATGTCTGAGAGTGATGAGCTTCTAAGCTGACCACAAATAGCGCCTGTGTAACCGGACAAGGAGTTCCCTCGTCCCGTTGTGCGCCAAACGACCAGACTAGAATGGATACCTCCAGCTCCTGGGCTCCCTTCTAAGCAACACCTAGTAGTGCAAAGGATTCATGCCAGCACCTTCCATTCCGGGGTCACCTGGCTGGAAACACCAACTCCAGCCAGGACACCGCTTTGAAGGTCCAGATGGTCCAGGTAATATACATATTTATATATATAATATATATATATATATTAATATATTGAATAGTTATTCATATACAAGTCCTTTGGCCTGGCCCCCTGGGCGCGGAAACACCTTCATCTCCCCAGTGACGATTGGGCTCTGGAGCAAATTGCCCGTCCTCCTCGATGACGTTCCGCCAGACTGAGTTCACACGCTTAAACGCGCCTTGAACGTCGGTCTCATCCAGGGCTGTCCTCTCCGCGCGCGGGCTCTCGACGAAGAGCTGGTCATGGTGGGAGGGGTCATCGATGGGAACCTGGTGGATGGACCAACAAACCTGAGGGTGGGAACGGTCTTCCCTGAAGCCACCAGCCCGAGAAACCAAACAAACTTAGTGAACAGTGAACTCAAAGGTTGTCTGTCATGTGGTGGATTGACACAACTGGCTTCATGAAAGCAAATGTCTGTGATGTTTCAGCTTGGGTCATGTTCAACTGACTGGTCTAGCCATCTTCCACGGCAGGTGCCCCAACCCCAGCGTTCCGGCTTTTCCCGCCTCCCAGCAGACAAAGTGCCATTCTCCTCAGTCTGATACGGGTTAAGTCGGACGAAGGAGCGGCTCTAGATGAGCACAGTTGACTGCGGCTAAATGAAGATCTACCGCGTTTTTCTCCTAAAAGGCATGCTTCTTCGGATCTCAGACGCATGCCTGTTGTGGAGCACTCCAGGAGTCTTATTTTAGGCCATTCGAGAAGGAAAACATCTTGATAGGCACTTGCTTCAAGATCTTCAAGTTGAATCCCTAGACCTTGCTTCAAGGTTGTCCAATGGAGATCTCTAAGCAAATCTAGATCGACGGGTAGTCTGGACAGGACACCCCTTGGATGGTCCTGGTCTAGCGATCCGCCGGTTCTGCCGCCGTTCCCGGCGTAGGTTCAGCACCAAGGTTCATCAATTGCCATGACCCCTACGGTGTAAATGCGCTCAAGACTCATTTTCGTTCCACCTGCTGGAAAATGCCCCCCCTCAAACCCTCCTGACGGGGACTATGTCAGTTTAAAAGAACTTCGAGGTAAGTTGGTGGTTTCACCAAAGTTGGTGGGGCCAATGGTTGATGCTTTGGATTAGCTGTTGTTGCGCAGGGTTGGTATTAGGCTCGGGATATAGATTCAGGTCCCTAGGCATGAAGCGGCCAGCTGCGTTCAAACGCCCGTCGGCTGGCAAGCGCCCAGCTGCAGCGCGGCCTGACGATGGTCTCACAAGGACTGAATTTGCTGGGCAATGGGTTTTTTGGAGGGACCATTCTTACAAACCACTTTCGTGGTGAACCTATTGGCTCAAGTTTCTGAATTGAATCTGCTAAAAACAGAAGGACCAGTAGCAATCACAAACAATTCAAGCGTGAAGACCTGAAGGTATTGTACAGAATACAACGGGGTCATCCTATAGCTAGCAGCTGGCAACAGCCACTCTACAACTGGTTGTGATGGCACTGGTTCACCCAGAATCTTCAGATGATGAGTTTGAGCTCACTCACAGACTGGCACGGCGGAAGCAGAAGTCCTCTGATGGGAGGAAACTCCAGCTGAGTGACTTGTTCTCTCGGAGGTGCAGGTGCACACGTGGAATTTTTTTCTCACAGTTTGAGGGGATGGACGCGTCGGTAGAGTCTGCTAGGAAGAAGTTTGAGGCTCTTGATGGCGTTGCTAAGGAGAACAGGTTGTTTATTGTTTTATTGATTTCCCTTGACTAACTGGCAAGTTTTCCGAGTTTCCTGAAATATTGTTTTTGTACCCCACACAACTCTATGTGCACCGATCCCCATGTGTAGGACGCTTGGGTGACTTCCCAATACAACATCAAGAGTTCCTTTGATTTAGCCATAGGTGAGGCTGAGGGTGTCTTGGTGGAGAGTGACAGAGAAGTGGACACAGAACAGATTTTGGTGGAGTCACAAAGCTCTGGGAATGAAGGCCAAGCAGTGTTGTGTGAGTCTTGCTCTTCGCATGGTGAGCAGGAACCGCCTGCGGCAAAGCGGGCCCGGAACTACAACAAGCGTTGCTCTGAAAGCTTAACCTTCTTGTGCAAACATGTGTGCAAAGCTGCCCATTAGCGGCTCATGGGCATTGGTTCATCAGTGATTGCAAAATTGAGACAGGGCCAAAGTGGATACACACAGGAGAAGCGGACTCCTTTGCCAAAGCATCCAGGCTGTGGGAAGGCATTGAGGCAGCAAAAGAATGACAAGTGGCCCAGGGTATTATGCTTTCTTTGCCTGCCCTACCATTCCGCGGCAGAAGTACTACCGACTAGATTCAAAATGCCCAACGGTTTTCTGGCAGAAGGCTTAGAGCCGGGTGACGATGAGGAGAAGGATGAAGATTACCTCACTCGCTATGTGTCCTCGTTCCTTCAAGGGCTGGACTCCTACCACCGCACGCCAGACTTGGACCAGGCAGGTCCTGGTACATTTGGAGGACCCAGGCGGTACCTCCAACATCGCAAGCCGATTGATGTGTATTACGAGTATGTTGCTTTCGAGACTGCCGCCAATCAGACCCCTGCAGGGCTGGCCACATTCCTGAGAATCTTCTTCCATTCAATATACAAAGACCACTTGAAGTTCAGGGGAAAAGGCGAGCATGCTGAGTGCAATGTCTGCAGTTCTCGGAAGAAAGCCATCACTAAGGCAAGAAACAGTGAGGAAAGAGCCAAAGCATACAGAATCTACAGCTCACACCTGCTCTCACAGTGGGTTGATCGCCAGTGCTACTGGCATCAAAGGACTTTATCCCAATCTTGGTTTCGCCCCTTGGCATCAAACATGGTCTAACTTCCTAAATCCCACGACTCAAGATTTCTCAATCTTGAGAAGGTGAAACTAGAACACAATCAAGAGCTGGGTTATTGTAAGCAAGGTCCTCTGGTTTTACTGGCGATGAAAGAATTTGCCTTGCGTTGTCCCGAATCATGAAAGCCAAGGTGATGCTTTGCATTGTGGCCCGAAGTTTCTTGGCAATTGCTTCAATGGCCTTTGATTCGTTGTGATGATTTCCAAAAAAAAAACAATCAAGGTTGAACACTTCTACTTCATCGTCAGTGCTGACCTGCATCATCGATGGGATGGATCAAGGTAAGTGCAAATGCCCAAGGGTCAGGGGGCAGACCTAGCAAGTCCCTAGAGACCCTGTACAGGCCAACTTTGCATCTGGTGGGGTGCTGGCTGCATGGGTTCCTTTTGCTTTTTTGGATCTCAAACGAAGACTTCAAGAAGAACTCCTGCACACAACTCGAACACCTGTTCAATGGACTATCCAGCATCCTCGACTCCTACACTGACCTCCCCCTAGTCCTGCATTTGCAGCAGGACAATTGTGGGCGAGAGGGAAAGAACCAATATGTATTGGCCGCAATGTGCCTCTTGGTCCTTCTGCGCATTTTCAATGCCACTACATGTGCTATCTAAGAAGTGGCCATAGACATTTGATGGCATTTTGATTACTTTGCATTAAAGACTATATGTTATGTTGTGGGAACCCCATTTGTGTCTGATTGATTCCAGCCAGCCACAGCCAAGCAAGGTCACGAGGACATTGATCAGGTGTTTGGCCAACTTGGAGCCCTGATAGCAAGATCGTGCTTTGCAACTCCTGATGCCCTGGTCGACCTGATCAATGCCAGTGCTGGACACCAGCAGCGCCACCAGATTCGGGGTCAGCATGTGTTTGCTTCGTTGACCAGGCTGCTGATTGGAAGTGTTGGGTGCGACAATTGGGAGTCAAGTTCACAGGATTGCGCAACTAGATTCCAGTTTTGATTCTGATGCTTTTTTTAATTTTTGGTGGCATTGTTTTTGTGTGTGTTTTTTAATCAATGGCACAAACTCAGAGTGGTTGTTCAAGCTTAGAGTGATCAACAGTCAGGTCATGTGCACTACTTTCGCTTTGTCTCCAGATCTGATTTGGGTCTTGATGTCTCAACGAATGTGCAGAGGTCAGAGATTTACCAGACCGGTTTGAGAAGTCCTCTGGGGACATCATGTTGTACCCAAAGAGATGGTTAGGGGACCAGTCAGTGTCTCTGGTTGAGTGTGTAGTGCCAGCTGAGAAGGCTGAGCAGATCCGACGAGGAATATCACCGCCAGATGGTGTTGATGAAAAGAGAGTCATCGCCCCCAAAGTGAAAGGGATGATCCTGCGGCAGGCCCCGAAGTGCGCTGCGCGTGGGGAGATCACCCAAGAAGCTGCAGACTACTTGGCTGGGTGGTGCCAAGGGAATCTGCCACCTGTCCCGCGGCCAGCTTCCTACCAGGTCTTGAGCTACAGGTGGGATAGATCACCGCTACCTGCTCCTGGTTCGTGGATGCCCCCTCTCAGGATGAAACATGTGAATGTTTCACTTCCTGAGAGCCCCCAGGACTCAGATTCTGAGGGGAGCGCTGATGAAGGCCCAGATGACTTGCCAGCCTTGCAAATGTGATGAAAAAGGATCGAGTAGCATTTGCAATGTTCCAAAGGCTCCCTCCAAATTCTCCTCATGGGATAGATGGCAGCCCCAATCTTCTATTCTGGATTTTCACAAGCAGAAATGGGATTGGAGTGTAGGTTATTTTGTGTGGCGCAAACAGCGATCCAGGACCCCAAGCGGCAATGACGTCTTGCTCGAGTCCGATGAAGAGCGGGGGCCTTTCCTGTTGTGTTGTATGGAACTGCTAGCGGCTAGGGTTTTTTTGGTTCAAACATCCAGTGTTCTCAGGATACCCAAGAAAAAAACCTTCTATGGAGATCATGGAGGAATCTGATGAAGAGCATGAGCTTACAGCGGCTAGCCCTGAGAAACAACAAACTCTGCCTTCATTCCAAGAGACTGCGTGTGGAGTTACTCAGCTGAAGATGTTCTCTTGTTGGGCACATTGTTTCCGTCTATCGTTCAAGCTTAAAGCCAGCGCCAGGTTGATGATTGGATGGCTCACCAATTGGGGTTGCCTCATTTCTGCAATCTCCGAAACCGGCTTGTGGAAACTATGCGCCAGGTTCGCGATTCACTGAATGGAGTGATCAAGGTTGGCACGATTTGTTCAGGATGGGGGACACAGGAGATGGTGACAACCTCCTTCAACGAGTTCTGGAATTCAGCTTTTCCAGATACAAGGGTGAAGGTTTCGAAGTTGCATTATATAGATCGTTGTTTTTCTTGATGGCATTGCTGACTGTATACTGCATGACAAGTGATATTGAAATGCCTTGTGTGAGGTTCAGCACACCTTCATGTGTGAGTGCAATTCTGATCGGCAAAAGGTTTTGGCATCCAATTTCCCTCAAACCCCTATCTTCGTGGACTTCAAGGAACTTGACACTGGGTTTGGTCGAGACTTTACTCGTCAAGGGCACACGTGTCCTGTTCCGGAGGCAGGGGCTTATTGTTTTTAGGGTCAAATGACATGCTAGGCACTGTGCAAAAGCAGTACCAAATCAAGAATAGCCACAATCATCAAAACACCCACAAGCTTGCACAGGTGCAAGTCCTGGTGGCAGGCTATCCCTGTGTGAGCCTGTCATCTTTGAATGGATCTCCCCAGCCCTTTGAGGCTGCGGAGGCCAAGACTGGAAGCGGCTACCATGCTGTCATGAAATGCATTGAGAAGTACCAGCCACCTCTAGTTATTCTAGAGAACGTGAGACAAATGCTACAAGCCCGAAAGCAGGACTCCTACAGGAAACCAATTGACATCCAGAATGCACGTCTTTCCCAAAAGTACATTTGCAGCTATGTCTTGGCCAATACCTGTGAATGTGGTTTGCCGCAGTCTCGAAACAGGGTGTGGATGATGTACATTCGCAGGGACCAGGTCAAAGGTGGGCATATATCTCCGAGGCACATTCAAGAAACTATGTTGTGGTTTGTCCGCATTTATTATAGTCAGAGACTTTGTCACATTTCTGTTTGTTTGTCTGGAAGCCTTCGCATAGTATATAATATATATATTTTGTTATTATGTATATTGTTTGTAGTAATATGTTTGTAATTTGTAATTGTTATTGAGGTCCTTTCAGTGCGCCGCTGCTCAGCTTAGCTGCTGTGTGGCTGTCAGCCGTGGGCCGTCTCCATTGGAGGATGAGGGGACTCAGCAGAAGGTAGGTCCAAAGACTGACGGCAAGTGGCACAAGGATTTGAATGATGCCAAGAAGAGCCTCGGGGAGGCCTTGTCCTGAGACTATTGAGTCAAAGGGTCTGCAACTGGAAATGCGCACTACAACTGATCAACTCTCTGATGTAAACTTCGCGCAGGCTCAAGTCAACCAGGCATTCAAGAAACTTCACATCATGAAGGCGCAGGTGTCAGATCGAGAGCTTGCCATTTTGGCAGTTACTGCAGTGGAGCTTGCAAAGAAGTATGATATCGATGTTTTTTCCGAAGCCCTTGTGATCCAGGTGGACTAGAGCTCAGTGCAAACTTCATATGTGTCTAATGTTGAACATGGTTGCGTCACACTTTTTGATGATTGCAGGTCCATTTTTCTGCATGTGTGCACACTCATGGTGACACTGCTGCGAACAATGGCCATATAAGGACCAGAACTTCACCAGGCAGCGGTATGTTCAGTCGAACCCTCGCATCGCACCGTGCACTATCCCTGGTGGCAAATATGTCCTCACCAAAGCTTGGAGAGTGTTGTGTGCACAGGCCAGGTATGGTCAACTTGGGGATCCTTCATTTGAAACGCGTGTACCTGTCGGCACACATAGAAGAAGCGCTTGCAAATTAACTACTCCAGGAGCATGCCGCCCTTCAAGGAGTGAGTGAGTACGACTTCGTTAAGTGCTAGCTCGAGCTTTGCGTTTGCTCAGCACTGTGTCCTGACATGCCACCCAAAAAGAAGCAGCGGATTGGCGCTGGCCAGCCAGTGGACCTGTGCCACACGCATGGCGCCACACACATGGCAGATGTGCCATCAGGGCGATGAGACAAGCCCTGCCAGTGAAACAGGTGGGGAAGTGAAGGGGTGGCCTGCTTTGAAGCCAGGCACATTCCGCTCGATTGCTCAACAGGTTTGGAAAAGTGCCGGAAGGTTGCTGAAAGGCAGCCTTGACATGTTGCAGAAGGCTGGATTGATGGATGT